ATTATTTGCTCAAAATGATAAAAGTCATATTTTTAAAAGTCATGGAGGAATCAGAATCTACAATGGGAGACGAGTCTAATGGTACCTTTGAAAAAGCTATAACATAATTTTTTCACTATGCCTTTTTGATATCAAAAATTTTAAAATAACTTTTATTTTCAGTGTCTGATTTAACCTGATCTTGGAGAAGATACCGATGATACCGACACCAAGAACTGCAAAGACTGTTCTGCCTTTTCCAAGTTGGATAATAAGCAAACCGATTGGATCTGGTGGTCAACGAGGAGAAGACGAAGTATCTCCTGTCATCAAACAAACAATCACACTATAAGGCACTCATCATGCCCGTGTTGGTATCTAGCGCATAAGCATGGACAATGACAACATCCGATGAGGCGGCTCTTGGAGTATTCGAGAGAAAGACTTTGCGGAAGATGTACCGGCCTTTACTCGTTGGCGATGATAGAATGATGACGCGCCAGCTCTTAAAGTATTCAACTCGAAACCCGCTGTTGGTAGCAGAGGAAGAGGAAGGCCCCCACTGCGATGGAAAGATCAAGTGGAGATGGACTTGGCTTCATTTGGCATTTCCAATTGGGGCAGTTGGCACAGAAGAGAAACGACTGGCGTACTTTGTCCAAAATATCGCCTTCAGCCAAGGTACCACAAGGTGACTAGCCTTCTGGAGTAAGACTGGGAATATTCCGTCTACTCCCGGGGATTAGCAGGGCTCAAAACTGTTGATTGCCCATTTTACTTTGGAAGAAGTTATGACGTTTGGCGGGATGCTACTCGCTATACTTCCTCCACTAACGAGGTCGCTCGAGTCCATGCATCCCGGAAAGTGGGTGCTGCCAAATCTTTTAGCTACTCCTCGCTTGAATATGTTCCATCATATCGTCTAGTATGTTCCAAAAGCGTTCCCAATTAGTATTTCCAGGGTTAATGAGGGCCCTACAATAAATTACAAACATAAATTACTTTTAGTGAAATGTTTTCAGGAGGAAAAAGTATATGATTCAAAATATTTATTATTTCTGACCGACCTCACAAAAAGGAGAAGGTTATCAATTCTCCGGAATATATATATATTTTTTAATGTATGTTAACGCATAACTTTGGAACACGTTAACCGATTTCTATAATTCTTTTTGTAGAGGAAAGGTGTTACTTCACAGGTAGTCCCATACTAATTGCATCATAAAGAAATTAAAGGAAATCTTAAATTTTTATATGAGAATTGAAGTCGGTTTTGCTTTTTGCCTAAAAACTACTTGTGAGTTACTACACTGTGTATAATACACACCGCGAGGTGATAAAAATTGAATACATATCTATGTACATATGTAGCCATTTTCAGAATTAAATATTTCAATGCAAGAGATACGGTGAACTCGTTAAATTGTGGCAGTGATCCACAAAGAAATGAATGGCGTGTTTTATTGCAATCAAGAAGAAAACGATCCGCAGAAGAAAAATATAAATTATAACTTTCAATTTCACCCAGGGTTAGGCCGGTGTTAACGCACTCTCCGCATCATTGAATGTACATTTGCAGCGCAGTGAAATTAACTTTTGATGCTCTTGATCATGAGCTTCTTTGCATTATTACCTCGAGGACGTTGGTCTTTCAAAGTTGATCGATAAGCAAACGGTGGCATTTCGTGCCATCAACTGGCTGCTTATCTTTAGTTGTAAAGTTGTTAGCTTAGAGTGTGTACGTAAAGCAGGTGGTTCTGTTGCATATTCATATTTATGTTATTTACTTGTAGGGTAAGTGTATAAAATGCATTCGGCAACTTCTGTAGGAATTTGCGGTGGTCTGCTGCTGGTAATGTACAATCTGGGCTATGCTAGAGCTACAGTTGTAACCAGCGTTAACTATGTGTTCGAAGGCTTCAGTCCATATGCGACCTTGCGATTTTTTGAATTCAACGATAAAGGTTGGAATATAAGTGAAAACTGTTTGCGTGACATGTACAATTTTTTGGAAGGGCTTCGGCGCGGATATCTGTGGGCTGTGAAGTGTAAGTACATATGCATAAGCTAAACTAGAAACTTGTAGCGGGTGGTTATGGCAGATGTTTGTTTACGAAGTGTACGATGCGACGGCTTACTACGCCGGAGGAGCTTTGGGTGGAGCATCAAAGGTGCGGATACACAACCCAAACATTTGTCGTTCCCTACTGCATCAGTATAAGGATCAGGTACAACACGCTTCTTGGAGTTTTATTTCAAACGAAACTATTGTGCCATTCGCCGTACAAGTTGTTGTGGGTCACTACTTGTTGGACATTGTATACGGAGGTGGATTCAAGGTTAGCACATCTTGCAATAAACTGGTTCATTTTATTTCTAATAACTTTTCTTCTTTCTTAAATTCAAAAACAGAGTGAGAAAATAGAGCAGCTCATCTGTTTTCCAACTTCTTGCAATAATGGAGACTTGCAGCAGATTTTAGAGGTGTATCTCTTTCAAAGCAATCACGTTGTGAGGAACAGTACATATCTGAGGCATCGAGTACTAAGTGATGTATACAGCATTCGCAATGACACCGATTCATATATTTTAATGTAAGTGTGACTTTTATGCTACAATACTCGTTTTATTAGTTTTTTACACATACTGTCATTTTCTTAAATTTTTAGCACATTCGTTTGCAGTTCTTTTTTCGTGTATGCTTTGTTTTTTGTTCTGCGCAGTTACCACTCGTTTATCAACTACTCCGATTCCAGCAATGAAGCCTTTCGAAACAATTTTGGATTCGTTGTGGATTACAAAAATTCTCTATTGAGAAATATGAAACGCTTTGCCCGAAAGACCACAACAGACACTGGTACTGTTGACATCAAATTTAGAAGTGAGTTAATCATACACATTTGCGAATATATTTCCTTAGTATAACAAGTAGTTTTTAAGGAAAAAAAAACAATGCCGACTTCAATTCTCATATAAAAATTTAAGATTACCGCTAATTCCTTCATAAATCAATGATAGGATTTAAACGAAATCAGTATGGGACCACCTTTTAGGTACAGTACAACATTTCCTTTAAAAAAGGAATTATAGAAATCGGTTAAAGTGGTCTAAAGCTATGCAGTAACATACATCAAACAAATATTCCGACGAACTGATAAGTTTCTCCTTCTTTTTAAGTCGGTTAAAAACATGAAAATTTTCAAAATCTAAACCTCTGTAATAATTCTAATACAAGTTGCGTTCCCTAACTCGCAATAAATTTACAGGAATTTACCAGAAAGCGTTCCCGTACTCGGTTCTCTGGCAAAGTAGGGGAAAAATGAGAGAGTAAAATCGGTCCTCTATTTGACGGTAGTTGCAAGATTTTACCCGAAGAATTTCTGCTAGTAAAATCTGAGTGAAAATCTCCCACCCACCCAAAATTGGATGGTCAAGATTTTTTCGAACAAATCACTTTATTCGGTTTACAACCATAAAAAAAATATAATTTAAACAATTTTGCAAAATCCGAATTTTTACAATAGTTATTGTTATTAACTTTTTTTGTGATGAATTCAGTAATTATTTATTATCAACTGATTCATAGCATGTATCTTGCTCATTTTTTCCACGATAATAGTTAATTAGACACGCTTTAGCCTGATTGTTTCAATTTTTCAATTAATTATTATTTTGTATAAAATTTTTAACTTTTTAAAAAAAATGTTATAACAAATGCAAATATTTATTACTTCTCGATCAGATTTTTTAATCGTTTACATTGAATATCAATCCTTATTCTATAATACATTATTTAAAAGAAAAAAAAACTCCGGAAACTTGCACGGAGGTGCTAGTTATTAATTTTTTTCGCTCCGGCCACGGGTGCTTTTGCCTTATTGCCGCGTGCCGCCCCGACTCGCAGCGAGCGTGGTGCAACCAGAGAACGCAAAAAAAATAAAATTTATTTATAAACATAAGCATAGATTATTTAGTACAATATTTTTTAAAGTTGCATACACACTGCACATATTTAGCATACATAACATGCATATCGTCGATGTTTTTGCAAAACCGCCCATCGACCAATTGCAAAACCGCCTATCGGTTTTTCTTTGAAGGCATTGCCTTAAGAGGCACAGCGGTGACAACATATACACACATACACATATACTTGGTATGACATAATGCACTAATCGCAGGCTATGATGTTGATTCAAACTCAACATTTGAAAACACATTTATACTATGTTCTGACCGACATCGAAAACATGTTTTCGTTGCTAAAACTGGTTTTCGACCTGAAACTTGTGTTTTCGTCCATGTAAAATCTGTCAAACGAAAACCAGTTTTCGCTGAAAACTACTTGAAAACTCATGTTCCACTCAGTCCAATCGGTGTCTGCACTAGTTTTTTTCGATTATTTATCGAAGTGGAAATAAGACATTTTATCATCTTTAATACGCCATTTCGGATTTATTGGTAATTGGCTGACCAAAGTAAAATAAGAATGAAAGTAAGAGGTTGCTAAAGAGAAGAAAATTAGAGAAAAGCGTTTTGGTTTTGGTCTTGTGTAGCAAAACTGTAATCAGAAGATGTAAGAAATGTCAACGAAAACACTAACAGCCGGTGTGAACAGCCTTCAGCCCACAATCCCAAAACTCGTTTTCAAAGTGTTTTCATTGTCGGTCAGAACATGGTTTTACATGTATGCCCTGCAGTGAAAAGCCAAACCAGTTAGAAAAAATACTAGTTCATTAACTATTATGTGCCTACCAGTTCGACAATTTCGAAGAACTTAGGCGATCAGCGACATCTGCCTTTGAATTGCCAAAGCCAAAAATAAAACGCAATTAATTGCTTTTCTTACAAATGTCGGCTGTGGCGTCACGTGAAGACTACTGGTTCTGGTTCTGAAATCGCAGGTTCGAGGCCGCTTGGAGGTGGTTAAGATTTTTAAAGTTAAATAAATGTAAGTAAAAATAATTTATTCAATTTATAAATAAATAACAAATTTGAAAATCGAACTGCATTGCAAAAAAAGATTTAGGAAGAAATATAAAAACAAAGAAATTAAACAAAAATATTTTTTTTTATTAAATTTAAAAATTACAATAAACAGCATAAACAAAAAAATAAATTTATAAAAAAATAAAAATAAAATAAAACATAGAAAATAAAAAAAGTTTCCCTGCGCCAGGATTTGAACCTGGGACCTCAGGCTAACCATGCGAGTGCTCTGCTCTGTCGGCCATTGTGACTGCTGGAGCGTCGCGAGCAAAAAGGCACTCTTATGCTTTTCACGGGGCATGAATTGGCAGACTATCTCATCAACTGGTATGATGCTACTAGTATTTATACTAGTAGATGCTGATGCATAGCCCGACAATTGACATCTCGTAGGACATCGCAATGTTAAAAATACCAGTCGCTAACATTGAAAAAGGATAGAACGTGAACTAGTTCGGCTGAAATGCAAACCGGTAGAATTCTAGTTCCCTGCAGGGTGAGTGTGCAAAGACGCTTGATACAATTGGTTACTGCCAAGAGGGTCCGGGTTTAATTACCATCAAACAGACGGGACATAAAGTTAAATTTTTTTCTTTCTTAATTACGAAAAAGCATCTGTGCACTTCACAACGATATATTTTATAACGTACATACTCAAATTTAAAACGAGTTGGGTTGGTGCTCTTCCATATGCGTATTTTTTTTAAATTTAGCACGCTTTTATTAATTCTAAAATTTTGTTTCCCTCAGTGTAGTTCCGCAATGCGACAGTTACAAATTTTCACCTTCTTAACATGTTAGTACAAGTTACATTATCAACCTTTATACTTTGTTTTCAGGAACTTTTAATTTCTTAAAAACGTAAATTCTCTTTTTACACATATCACGTCAACTTTAGTAAGTCAAACCTGAAGTACCTTTTTGCTTACAATTTCTTCACGTAGACTTAGGGGCTGTTGTTGTTTTCTGTGCAATAAGCTTAAGTATTCCTTTCATAGCAGATTTTTCAGATAGGCACCCATTATGTATAGTTGTTATTGCATTTCATATGCAAAGGTAAGCATTAGTGAGCGTGTCGTTTTAAATTTGAGTATGTGCGTTATAAAATATGTGGTTGTGAAGTGCACAGATGCTTTTTCGTAACTAAGAAGAAAAAAAAACTTAATTTTATGTTCCGTCTGATGGTAATTGAACCCGGACCCTCTTGGCCGCAACCAATTCCCAGCAAACACAGTTTCAAACGTTTGAGAAAAATGTATTTCTCAATTTGATATCAAATGTTTTTCTCAAATGATTCTCAAATTGAAAACGAGGTTTAAATTTTACATTTGAAATTCATTTGAGGTTGATTTGAATAAAGATGTCAAGTATCAAACGTTATAAACATGCGCAGTTAAATCAAAAATTGTAAGAATAATATTAAGATCAATTGAAAAAAAAAACAATGAATAGAAAAAATTTCAAAGAGAAAGCCCACAAATAGTGGATTTGATGTTTGCGCGGATTGAAAAAGCTGCAGTCCTTCAAGACGAATTTATAATAAATTACATTATCTTAATTGTTTCTTTTGTTATGTACATACATATGAGTAGTCCATTTGCAAACAGCGTTATGTGATTTTATAATAGAAAGCCATAAATTTGAAAAAACGGCTACGACAACAAGTAACATTTAAATTGAATCTTTTTTATTATTACCTGAAAATTTGGATAAACAAGAGCCTTATAAAATTATAACATAACATACCATGACATAAGATAACATTAAAAGTCTATACGATCTAAAGCAGTTTTCTAGGTTCATCAGAAGATGGATACTTTTGAAAGTTTATAAATAAGTATGATATCGACTTTTGGAAAAAGAGTTAACATTTTATGCTATTTTTTCAGAATATAAAACGATTTTGCACTGTGTTGTTAGTGGACATGAAACTACTTTAAATACTGGTACGTAATCCACCAAAAACTACAAATCGAAAAAATTTTACATACCGCACTTTGCAAGTGGACTACTCATATGTACATCGCGAAGAAAAAATAAATATGAAATATATATTTCCTATTATAAATTTTATTTCCACATTAGAAGTACATTTGATAAATAACCTTTGAAATTGATTTGAGAGTTAACCATATTCTCAAATGGAGATCAAACTCCCCTTTTTATTGAGAAAGCTGTAATTTTCAAATCAATATCAACTCATTTTCAAACGTTTGACATTTGATAAAGGCTTTGATTTCAAATCATTCTCAAATGTATATCAAACCTAATTATTTGCTGGGTCGTATCAAGCGTCTTTGCACACTCAGCTACAGCCATACATGTAAATGTGTTTTCAAACGGTGAGTTTGAATCAACATCACAGCGTGTGGTTAGTGCATTATGTCCCTGCAGCAAATCAAACTAGTTCAGAACTTACGCTGAGCTAGCCTGAAAAGGGACGGTACTGGTTCTTCATCTATCCCAACTCAATGCTTGCAACTGTCTTTTTTAACATGGCGATGTCCTACGAAGTGACAATTGTCGCCCTCTGCAGAACTTTTGAACTTGTTCTGAGCTGACTCTGGCTTAGATGGTTCTGGTACAGTTCATATAACAACAGTTCTTAGATAGTTCAAAAAGGGTCACCTGCGGGCTAGAAAAAATGTGGTTAGTTTTGAGCTGGTTCTAATAAGTATAGTATAGAGCCTTTTCTTTAAATAAGCACGCATACAATTTTGTAAATAAAAATACTTCATTTTATGTTTAAAGAGCTATTTGTTTTGAACTAATTTACTTTTTAAAGCAAACTGTGTGTCAATTATTCCTTTATTTTCTAAAACCGTTATTCTTAAAAATAATTTATATTTGTTACGTATAATGAGTATTTCTGGGATACCTATAATTAAAAATCTGAACTAAGTCGTGTCAAAAAATGAGAAAAACGATGATATATTGAATGATTATTTGTGATAACTCAGCGTTAAATTGGATTAAATTTATTGAAATGTAATACATAGAATTTCCGGCATCTCATAAGAAATATAGAATTTTGAATATTTACAGTTTTCATGCTAAATATTTTTCGTAAATTTTTTATTTAAGGATGGCTCATAAGTATTATAACATAAACAAATAAATTCACGTTTCTAACTGTGTTGGAAATTTAGTAGAATTCTAGAAACTGTTATAAAAACTTCAATATTTTAAATCAGTTTATGAGTATGCAGTTCTATAGCCCATTAAATTTTAGTATAATTAATCGCGCTGATTTTTTATAACTCTTTTTACGCACGCTCTTGAAGGCATTCTCATATTTAAATATTTTTGTTTAAGATGCAAGATTATACTTTACTACACTAAAATTTGATGGGCTACAAAACAGAATACTCGAAATAGTTCTATCAAGTTTGCAGCACAGTTAGGAATTTGAATTTAAATGGTTTATGGAGTATGAGACATAGTACTTAAATAAAAACTAAACGAAAAATATTTAATATGAAAAACATTGGAAATTAAAAAAAAATCACTGCATAACTACACATTTCGGGTCAAGGCGAATTTATATAAGGTGGTGTTGTTTAATCAGCTGTGTGTAGCGTTTGATTGTCAAAATTTTATATTTTGCTAGTGAGTGAGTGAAAACGTGAAAGTGTTTGCATTTTCTGTCGCCCTTTTTCATTCGGAGAAGAATAGCTGAAATTTGACAATCACCAGCTAAAACAAAAAAAAAAAAATACAGATAATTGTTGTATTTGTTGAATCGATACCACCTTATATGAATTCGCCTTGTTTCGGGTGCTTAGTGATACATTTACGTATGTACAGTATCGTTCATATCAATAGCACTCACATTTCAAAGTGAGATTGTTTACCACTTTGGTTTATTTTTTTAAATCTGATTAAAAAGTCAAACATTTTGATGAAAAATCGTTAAGTTTAACTTTCGTTTTGTATAAAGTTTTAAAACACGGTTAATATTATTTTATTTTAAGCATGATCATTTAAATAATAAAAATAATTTTAACTCTCAATATATTGTGAATATTTAAAAAATAAATGGTGTACGCAGACCTTTCCTGTCAAGTGTAGCTTAACTAAATTTTATATTTTGCATTAAATTTTATACGTACGTAGATATGTATAAAAATGACATTAATGTTACCAATAACGACTTTTTTGGAAATATTTTAGCAGTTGCCCCATAAACTATGTAGAGAATTACATATTAAATAAACGAAAACAGTTTGTTATTAGTTTTAGGGTCTAAGAAAATCGAAAAAATATAGTATATTACATTTGTGCATCTTTTGTCAGCTTTCACATGACCAGTTTCAACCGTCCAACTCAGCATCCCTTTTTCAGTAGTTCAGAGACAGTTCTGAAATTTGTAGGGCGGAACTAGCGCTTTGACAGACTGTCCCTAAATTTTGCTGCAGGGGTCATACCATGTATGTGTGTATGGGTGTATGTGTTGTCACCGCTGTGTATGCTTTTATACATTTGTATATGAAAAAGCATCCGAGACGTGCAAAACGCCATCCGTGCAGTGAAAAATTCTTCATTTTAATACAGGCGTATTTAAATTGAATATTTCCACTATACGTAGTGATTGTATAATGGAAAAATCCATTTTGTTAAAACTTTTCACTATATTTAAAAACGAGCATTTTTAAATGGTAATCAAATAAAAAATTTTTATTCTTACAACGCATTTTTTTTTCTCAGTGTGTGTGCTCATATGTTAACCGATATATAACTTACACACCCAAATTAATTATTTTTAACATTTATATACCATATTTTAAATGTAGAAAGTAATTAAAAAAGTTTTTAATTAGTCGCATGAAATCGGCATTTCGTTACATAGTGCGGCGGTATAAATATTCTAGACCCCCTAGCGTATAAGGTAAAGATTTCAATCGGATATCTCTCAGGTTCAGAAGAAAAAAATTTTCTAAAAACTTATCCGCACATATCCTTAAGAAAAAATGGTTTTCCAAAAGTCTGAATATAGAGCAATCGTTATACGTGGCTTCAAACAAGACATTCACGTTATAAAATTTTAAAGCTTATGTTTCTGCTCTTTCATTCACGCTTGTCCTCGCCTTTGAATGCAAGAGCTTCAGTGAGCGTTGCACACTTGGATTACATTCTAAAAGTTTTTTATCAGACCCTTTTTCGTGAACTCGTTCACTTCCTCATTTTCGGAAATATCACTATGTCCTGGGACCTAGTAAAATTTACATGTGTTGTCTACGAGATTTCAAGGGTTTTTAACATTTCTAAAATCATAGCGAGTTACTCGTTGATAACCTGACTTGACCTGTATAAAAAGGCAACTTTTGACTGAGAACATCCATCATGTTTACCTAGCTTGCATAGATCTTCGCCTGAAAAGTATAGCCGTATTCTGAAAGTCCATTAGCCGACTGAAAAGTTGTCAGGTTCTCAGTATCTTCTGTGGTTAGCTTCGAAGTGTGATAGCTTAACTTTAACTTCAAGTCGGGACAGGTTACCGCTATCTTGCAGTAATATAACTTTAGATATACGTATGTACGTTATTTCGTGGTCAATTTAATTCGAGCCTGTATTGGCTTCGGCAGTGTATTAGAAATACTTTTAGATCGCCAAATAGTCCAAAGGGAACCATTTAGAAGAAATAAAATCGAGTTTGCCAAAACCAATATGCCGTTGTTGTTATTTTTACTAACTTCCGTTATTAATGATTTTTCCCGCAGACAATTTGCCGCAAATTCTAACAAAGCCACGATCACATAAGTTGGACGATATTCTTAACGCTGTTTCGCCACACAATGTTCTTTACAAGTTATTCGTTGGAGATGTATCACCACAGTCTATTATCTATGTCATATTTACAATACTCCTTATCCATGAATATTTGGACACACAAATAAAAGCAGTTTCCAGTAACATTGAACCTAAGTATGGAACGTCAGTGCCAAAAGTCCCTGCTTTGCATTACGCCAGTTTCCTGATTGATATTTATTTTTTTGTAAAGTTGAGTAAGAATTTTAAGTGGTGAAATAGTCCTGTAGAAGTAGTGGATTACATTTTCGGGTATCATTCCACAATATTAAGGACTATTTCACTATTCGATAACCGTGTCCTTTCACAGAATTATTATAATAAAAGTGTTCCTATCTTTTTAATAGTGGTTCGAAATTGGCTTCAGAGTTTCTACAAAAGTTTCCTACCGAAAAATACCAAGTTTCTCAGCAAATGATATTCGTACTGAAGCTAACTCTTCAGAAAGCTTTGTCGTAAGTATAAAACCAAGTAAATACATTGGTTAGTTTATTTATTTATTTATTTATATCATTTACGTATTTTTTGTGTCATATAATTTAATTCGTATTAATCGAGTCTGTCATTTAAAAATTTTAAACAAAAAAAGCCTTGTAATAAGTTTTTCGAAGTTTCATAAATTATAAAAATGATGAGCTACTTGCCACAATGGCAGCAATCAAACAATACTTCAGAGGATTTAGTGTTGAGCGTGGGAAATTTTCTGTTATTTGTATAATGGTTTTGTGGTCGCTATCGGAGGGGGATGTGGCACCTAAAGCCGCACCCATTAGAAAGAGCACACTCCAAACTTTATGGAGTCATCCTTCCCCTCTTTGGCTCTCTACATACACCCGGAGCCCATTTCAAAATGGGTTAAAATTAGCATTTTGACAAAGAAAAATTTTATTCGGGTTACGCCATTCGCAGCATTTTTGCGGCGAATACCTTACCGTCTTGGCGGGCTTCGGCCCCGCTTAGAAAAATTAACCCTCATCAGTCCAACTCCGGCTAAGCCATCCACAATATTTTTCCGCAAACCCCACCTCGAAATTTACAAAAAAGTACATATTTCAAACAGAATTTATTAATAAATTAGTGCTCGGAAATTTAAAATCTTTCTTTCAAATTAAAGTCGAATCCCTTGACTACACGCGTATGTTAAAATTCATTGAAACCCAATTCATTGTACAAATAACCGAACCAAACCCGTAAAGAACCAACTTCAAAAAAAAAAAAACACTAACGAACTAAAAAATAAAATAAAAATTTTAAAACTAAAGTACCAACTCAAGAATTACCAAACTATGTAACTACATACTACAACTATATTTGAAGTCGGGCGAGGGGGGTTGCTAGGTTAAGAACCTGCCAGATAAGGTTCTTCCTCTTCTTTCATGTCAAACTCATACAAATCCATTATGTCACATTGGAAGCTGTGGCCCGTAGCTCGTCGCTTTCAATGTGTTCAGCACTTAAAACTTAATTATATAATTTACAGAGACAATTTTCATTTTCCCAAGAGTAACGGGCGAGACAACGACGACACCCGCCTCCCTGAGTTAACGAATTCGTTTCCCCATTTTAGACAAACTATGTACATAAATATGGTTCATTCCACGGTGACGGGTGTGACATTTCAAATTACATTTTAAGGCTTAATTCTTAAACTATAACATAAAATTCTTTAAAACGAGTACTTTCTGTTAGGTTTACGAGGTATATACAATGTCTAGACAAAAATTTCAAAAACTATTTAATCCAAACGAGTTATATGAATTTTAGTCACTGTGACGGGTGTGACGAGTACGCAAACGAAATTAGGTACTACTTACTTGTATCACAGTTTTTCTGCTAACTATGTATTCTGCTGATGATTTTAAATAGTTCATTCAAGGCATATCAAACAGGTAGTAGCACTAGAGCAAAAACAACATTTACGTGTATTTTGTTGTTGCTTCTGGTATCGAAAATGTCAAAAACTATTCTGATTTTTTTCTTATAAATCAAAGCGTGCCATGTGAAATACAAAAACAAAAAAACAAAATATTGAAATTGGAAAAAATTAAAATTACTGAATTTTCTTTCTTAGCAAATTTGTTTGCTTCTCGAAGCATTGATTCATCCTATGCAAGGCCCAGTAATCAGCGGTTGTGCTGCTGAGTTGGGCGAGTGTTCCAAAAGCTGCTATTCAATCGCTTATTTTGTATGGACAAAGGTTTCACATGCAAATAGATTTTAACAATTTAGAATTTTTGTGAGAAGAAATATATTAAAAATATTTGGTGATATTACCTGTTCAATGTGCTTTGAGGTCATTATATAGCAAAATAAACATTTTCAAAACTTACGCCGAAGTTCCTTAACTCTGTTGGAAATTATAGATTATATGCTCCAATTTCAACTGTGATGGGTGTGATTTGACTTCGTGACGAGTGTGAAAAGTTGAGAATTTATAAACAAATCTACATAAATTTTGTCTCCGTTCGTTTTGAGATTCTACTGAACCGATTTCAAAACCAAGAACACCATTGGGAAGCAATTTTTCTGTAGGTGAGAGTTTTTATGGTTTCAAAATAGGTTGAGAACTACGGCCAAAATCGCCGCTAGAAAATTTCCGTATTTGTGTATAGTTGTTGTGGCAACCTGTTCAATTTTAATTGTTTTCGCGTTTGGTTTACATCGTATTTAAAATTAAACTTTGTAATAAAGATAACTGTGATGATGAAGAAATAAATGATAATTATTAAGACAATACAGTGAAGGCAAAATTAAAGATTAAAGATGAAAATTAAAACAAGGATTAGGGTAACTGAAACACTTTAAGGTAAAGGCGAAGGAATATGCAACAATAAAGATAAATACGAAGAAAAAGATGAGGATGAAGATTGATATTATTATCGATAGAATAATCGATATCGTCATCGATATTGTTATCGATATAATGAAAGCTTCGGTATATTTATCGAGAGTGTTATCGATATAACAATCGGCACATGATATGGGATCACATCACATTTAATCACATGATATTATATGGCATCAGATGATATTACATCACTTGATATGACATCACTTAAGATGATATCACATCACATGATATGACATCACATACTATGATATCACGTAACATGATAACATGGCATGACGTCACATGTTATGACATTATATGACATCAAATGGCATGACATCACATTATGTGACGTCATATGACATGACATCGCATGATATGACAGCACATGCTATCACATCACATCGCATTGCATTACCTGGCATCACATCATATAATATCTTACACGTCAACGCACGAAAGATAAAAACAAAGATGAAGACCAATTTAATAAATAAATTTGTCAAGTTACCCATGTTTATTAAGTTATCCCAACGTGTAGAATTATTCAAATTGATCAATGTAAATTTACAGACACAGAAAATTAGATGGCGAAATTCACGGACAGTTAACCAGTCAAAGAACGTAGATAACAAGAAGGGACAACTCGTTATAATTGTAGCGAAAGTGAGCAACAGGGGCGTGCCTTCTCTTTTGCCCTAGTACATTTTTTGATTGGATGAAAAGAGAAGGCATGCCCCTGTTGCGCACTTTCGCTACAATTATAACGAGTTGTCCCTTTTTGTTATCTACATACGTTCTTTGATCCAGCTATAAAAATTAATGGTATTAGCGAAATTTGTCAAGTTTATGAAATTTATCAAATTATCGATATTAATTGCATTATCAATATTTATGGAGTTAACGAAATTTATGGAGTTATCGCAAATGTATCGAGTTCTTTGAACTTGTCGAACTACCTATATTTACTAATTTACTGAAAATTGTCGATTTATCGAACCGTAGTTTTTGAAATTTTTAAAATATATCGAGTTATCGAAATTTCAAGGTTATATAAGTTTATCAAGTTTTCATTGCTTATCGAGTTTTATCGTGCTACCGGAGAAACTGGTCGAAAAATATAGAGCTAGAAATTTATAGAGGTATCCAAAGTTTATCGGATTATCGATCTATATGGAGATATATACATTTTGGAGTTATCCAAAATTATCAAGCCCTAGAAACGCACAGTTATCAAATTTTATCGAAATTAGTACGAGATACCGAACCTCGTTAAGTTAAGGGATTTTAGTGTTTACAGCCGCACTCAGAAACGTTCCTTAAATTAGCTCTAACGGGCACTTAACTAATGATCGTTAAATCTGTTAATTAATGGGCACGTTCAGAAGGCGCAACAGCTCAGTAACTGTTGCCATTGCACCTTCTGAACGCGTTGTTGTATACTTCTGATCCACTGAACAGTTGCGTGTTAGATGATCGTAATATTTTTCTGGTCATTTGAGACAACATGTTGTTGAGAGTTGAATTTGACAGCTAATGCATCAAGCCGTTCAGAAGACCCATAACGATCACTGATTTTTTTTAGCAACGGTTGCGCTCAATGGCTGCACCTTCTGAACCTACCCAATGTTTCCTCTCAGAGTTAAAAATTATGAAATAAAAAATTTAAGTATGGCCCCAGTTGCGGCCCTTCATTTTTGTCGCATCACTCACTTTTTTCGTTCAGTTTCAGTTTTCAGTATCATTTTGCGCGCATCGGCTCAACATACGCAATGGCTGAGTGAGCAGAGTACGTGCCATTCGAGAGATCCGAGTTCGAGTCCTAGGGCAGGAAAATTTTGTTTTTCTTTTTTTATTTATTTATTAATTTTTTCTTATTTAATTCTATAAACTGTCTGTATTGAATTTTTTAGTTTTTTTGATCTAATTTTCTTTTGGTGTATAGATTTTATTGCTTTAAAAAGAAAAAAAAAAATTAGTTTAATTTAATTATTTGCTAAAAGACAAACAAGACCAATAACAGGCCAATTCTGGCATCTGACTTTCAACTCACCTCATTCTTTCGAGAGACAAAAGTGTTTATATTTCGGCAACTATCTTGAAAGCCCTTTTCTGTATTTCAAATAACTAATTGACAGATGTGGTAATAGTGTTATTATATTTATCGCTTAGCAATAAGTTTTATAAAAACTAAACGAAATGAAAAACGGAAAAAACTAAAAAATTTAGAAACTGAAAGAAAAAGAAAAAACATGAATCAAAAAAGTTTCCAAACGTTAAATAAAATAAAAAATATGAATTTTTGAAGTAATAAAACTTAAAAAAAATTCGTTGCCGAGGATTGAACTCGGATCTCTTGAATGGCACGAAAGTGGTCTGCTCACTGGGCCATTGCCACTGTTGTAGCAACGTTATCGAAATTGAAATTTATTGGAAACAAACAAAAAATTTCAAAATCATTCGTCAAAAAGTTAAGTAAAGGTTTTTGTTTACTTAACTTTAATGTTCATTAAATGCCGTTAACGAATCATTAACTGACTCTGAGAGGGAATTTTTTCAAATCGTTACTGAGGGACACCTTAAGTAATCATTAAACGACTCTGAGTGTGGCTGTAGTGAAGGAGTTTTCCGGTGAGTAATTTTTTATAATATATGTAACGACGTGCTCAGTTAAAAAACCTCTCCAATGGTCTTAAAAAACTAGAAGAACGGTCGAATTTCGACAGTAAATGGCACTCATAGTACATATTATTGGACTATAAAACTAACTTTATTTCCAAAAAATCGGATTTTACAAACATGTAAAAGATGCTGCCTCCTAAAGACGGGATAATCCTTACTCGTACTCTTCATCTCCACTGTCTGAGTATGGAGACGTCATTGTAAAGTACCTGATTATTAAATATAACTACAATTTTCGTGAGGCTGTTGCCCGTCAAACCGTATGAGATACTGTTTTTACCCTGACAAGTGAAGTAATAGTTTCTTTGTATCTGTGGCAGCATAGCTTAGTTTTCCCATCGCTCAAGCAACCTATCTTTGTGATTAGCTTTATCATCGATGATCACAAAGAGATATATGATACATTTCAAATTAGCAGATAAGTAACCGTAGTAGTCCCTGGACGAATTTTTTAAAACTATTGTGACTGGCGTGACTAACATAATCGGTATTTTTTTTTAGAAAATAAAAGCATATAAATATTTAAAGCATAAACAGACGGCAGCGTGGAAACTCGGAAATTAACTGCAGTAGATCCGGCTTAAGTCCGAGTTAATCCGGATAAAAACGTTACAAGGTAAAATCACTGAGAGGCAGTCTGACGTTTGCCAGTAATATAATTTTAAAATTCGAACCAAGGCGAATTTATATAAGGTGGTGTTACTAGCTCAGCTGATTTTGTGTATGTGTTTCGCCGCACGGCTTCCGATATCAAATTGAAAAATTTTGTTTGAATTTCTACACATACTCTTACAGATTTTGACAGTTTATGTCGCCAAAGCAAAAACAAAATACGTGTAAATTTTTGTTTTTGTACTCCTGCTATCACCTTATATTAATTCGCCTTGATTCGAACTCAAGCTCACACACACATTCTCATTTTTAATCTCAAACAACAACAATTATGAATAATTTTATTTTTTTATTTTCAATTTTATATGATTTTAAAATGTTTGCAAACGTCAGAATGATTGAATGAATGATTTTACCTTCTAATGTTTTTATCATGGTTCTCTCCATTGACCGTTTAAACGATGCAAAAATTACAATAGACTACAAATAAATATAATAAAAAAAATTCTTTTTAATATACCACGGCATACAAATGGACTAAAAAGTATTGTACAGGCTTACAAGTATGGAAAGCGCAATTTTGTTTGTTTACATTTGGAAACAGCTGAGATCCCCTGATTTCAAATTCTCCCATTCGACGCACAGAGTTCCATTCAAGATTCAGAAAAAAATTTGAAAAGTAAAGTAAGAAAAATTCTAGAGAAATGTGTTTTTATTCTTTTGAATTGATTAAATAAGAAATATAAAATACATGCCAAGCTTTGTATTTCCAATAATAATGATAATTGTGTATGTTCAAGGCAATAATTTAAAATATTTGTGAAACTAAGGCCCACTTGCAGAACAGCACGTTATCTATTTAACTCGAAGTTTAGTGGTTAAATTGATAAATTTGCTTGCACAATCAATGGTTAGGAGTAAAATTATAGTTAAATCGTTAAATATTTAGCCCAGCAATTTTCGAAGGTTAACTTCCTAACTCTACGTATGTCATTTCTGTCAATAACAAGAAAAAATAAATTGAGATTTCAAAAATATTTTTGAAAACATATGTACATACATACATACATACATATTCACGTATTCATTATTCCGCCTTCAGTTCTGAGGTTTTGGTCAGTCTGGTGTAAAAAATATATGCGATTAAAATGCACCAACCGTGTTAGTAGTCCATCCAATTAAGAGAACTCTCGGAAGTGCCGCTGGCTTATTTAAAAAGTGTACCTATTTATGTATGTATGTATGTACGTATGTATGGAAGTGTTTGAAATTCTATATTCAAATGTAAATAAACGTCAAAAAAAAGAGAGTGGTGCCTACTTAATTTAAAAATCCCTCGGGTTACTTAACGCTGGGCCAGTTTTCAACGCTGCAAGACAATGTCTGGTTAAGGAATATAACAATTTAACTCTGAGCTACTTATCTCTCTATTTATACATTTACCTCTAGATGTTCTGCAAGTGGGCCTTATTGTTTTGCGCTAAAATACAACAATGTGTGTGAAATTCGTTGTCATTGTTTTTCTTTATTTGCTTGTGCCGATGGAAAAATTAGGTAAATTTGCAATTATTTTTTCAAAACATTATAAATCGATATTTTTCAATATATTTCTTTCCAGAGCGATATTTATGTGCACGGGAGGAGTGCTATAAGCAACTGCAGCCAATCTTCTTCACCAAATCTTTTTCCGTTTTTCAATTAGTCTGTTCCAATAGCAGTCCGGTTTACAGGATTTAGTCAGAACTTACAGGAAGTCGTTCCTATTGACATAAAACCTGTAAGTGGGAACACATTTGAGAGAGTAACTGAGCAACTGTTCCTAGTCAGAAGTTACAGGATTTAGTCCGGAGTTTTTTTTTCTGTAAGTTCATGAAAAGTGTCAAACGATCAGCTGATTTGCATGTGCAAGCAAAAACAAACAGCGGTGAAAGCAAAGTACCTTATATTTGTAAAAAAATGGAAGTAAACAACGAACTGTTTGA